TAGATCTACACAAAGGACTGAAAAATGCTGGAAAGGAGAAATATACCGGCAAATGTAAAAAATACTTCCTTACACATCTTTTAATTTCTTTAACTGATAATTTAGGGCCTTGTTGGGAGCAGCACATCCAGTGGTGGTGGCTTATGTGCTGACTGCAAATGAGTGTCACTGAAGGCCACAGAGGAGTGAGACAGGCTGTCAGCCGGGTGGCAGAGTAAGTGGAGCAACACAGTTCAGCCAAAAGGTGGCATTGCCCAGGCAGGCGGTTAGGTGAAGAGCTGCTCATAGCTGGGACATCCTAGCCTGAGCATTACTTCCTTTGCTTCGCATGCATAGCTGTCTAGCCTTCCTGCGCCCCCTGCTGGGGCCCATACAACAGGTTTCCCTACTATGAGACCTGTTGCCTGGTCAGGTTCTAGATCTGCTCTTCCAACCCTTTAAGCTTTTCAGTTCTCTCCTCTGAAATGCTGGCACCATGATGAGTACTTATAATCCCCAACCACAAGAGGGACATGAAAAAAGTACCCTTAGTTATGCCTGCTATAATCTCTATAACTTTATTATTGTTTAGATAATAAATGAGCTTCTACCTAGATAGAAATATAACAAGAATATGGATTGTTGGCCCAATAAAGTGATATTAGAAGGCTTGCTTTCTCAAACCAGAGCTGTAACATCTATGTTTAAAGAAGCTGAAAAAGATGAAACTGAAATATCAGGGAGGGCTCTGACTCATGGTAGGAAGACATTTACTTCAAAGACATGGTGAAGTTGTAAGCAAGAAATGAAAATATGTAATGGATTTATATGTGTATGTAATATGTATGTAACTCAATTACCTTACAGTGTCTTAGGCACAGATCATTTTATATAGCTTCAGAATAATTTGCTATTTAAGTTGTGGCATCATTTTCAGACCATTCATAGGTAAAGGGAAACAAGCCGAGTATTTTAAGTATAGACAGGATGAGTTTATTAAAACCCAAAAGTTGTTTGTTAGAACTTTTCAAACTAGAAAAAGTCACTGAAGCGTCTTATGCATAAGTTATTGCACTGCATGGACTGGGGCAATGGACATAATAGTCTAGAGATCAATAAAGCCCTGAACAGTTGACATTGCTAAATGTCTACTGAATGAAAAGTTACTAAAATAACTTGTAGTAATGCCTCTTTTCAATAGCACAGTAACTTGTTTACTTAAACATTTAGCTCTAAACATGAAGACTTAATTATTTGCATAATTGTACTTTTACCTTACAGACAAGTCTACAAATGTGTCTGGACTAGCTGTTTTGCTTGTAGTCATGTGGTATCAGCACTAACTAAATCTTTGAAGAAGGCTTTTTCTTTGTGAAGGGTTGACAACAAACACAAGTGGTACTGAAATATTGAAAGTGCTGAATAACTTCTTTGAATCCCATGGTTTCTCCTGGAGCAACTTTGTTTATATTTGCATGAAGGTACAAAAACAAGGTAGATAAAACTTCAGGCACCATGATATAAATTAAGGCAGTACCATCAAAGTATACCAGTAGTTATTGTATTCTTTATACCACCAGTAATCACATTAAAAGTTCAATTTCACTTAAGAATGTCTTTGGTGAAGCACTAAAAATTATTAAATCTTGATCCTGGGTTTAATATTCTATGTGACAAAATAAGAGTTATGAAAAAGTGCTTCTGTTATAAACTACATTATGGCGATTGTACTGAAAAAAAAAAACACATCTGTAATTAGGCTGTGGCTTAACTAGCCACTTTTCATGAATACCATTTTTCCTTGAAAGAACAACTGATGGAAAAACTGATTCAATACCGGGGTATTTGGCAAATACTTCTCAAAAATGAAGTGAGCCTTTAGGGTAAACTACTGACATAATTTGTTGCCAATAATGATATTTACATTTTTGAGTGAAAATTAAAATACTGGAAAACTTCATGCTTGAGAGTTTCCCCAAACTTAAGCTTTGTTCCAATGAGATTAGTGCTGATATCAATGTGATTTTTGATAGTGCAAAATATGTTTCAGCATTTATAATATTCACATAACTTGGTGAACCAATATTTTCCAAGTAATCAGTATGTACAAGATGGGTCAAATATCTATGCAAAGTACAAGATGACCAATGAAATTTTAATGCAACAGTATATAAAAATTTCACTGATAATAGCTTCAGATTCCATATGGTATTAACCTGTAAGAAACTACCATTTGTAGAGTTTTTGTGCAGTATCAAAGAAGAATATCCACAACTATCTATAAAGGCTATTAAAATACTCTTCGCTTTTCCAACTACATATCTGCATGAAGCTGGATTTTCTTCATATACTTTAGCAAAAACATCATAACACATTGTAGAGGTCGGCATGAGAAGTAAGCTGTCATTTACTATGCCAGACATTATAGAGATATGCAAAAAATGTATAGCAATGACATTCTTCTCATGACTTTTTTTTTGAAAATAGAGTTATTTTTTAAAAATCACAACATGTTATCTGTGCTAATGTGTACTGGGTTTATGATTCTAAGTAAATTAATAAATGTTTTAACTGACTGAGCCACCCAGGTATCCCTTAATAAATGTTATAAAATTTTAGAAATATACTGTTTAAAGCAAGACAATAAAAATGTATCACAGGGTTTATAATATATGCAAAAATAAATATATGACTACATTTGCACAAGGGAAGGAAAGGGGAAAAATGGAAGAACACTGTAATAAGGGTGCTATATTGTACATGAGGTAGTATAATACTATCTGAAGGTAGAATATGATAAGTTAGAAATGCATATTGTAAACCCCAAATCAACCACAAAAAATCAAACAGTTACAGGTAATAAGCAAATAAAGGAGGCAAATGGAACCTTAAAAATACTCATTTAATTAAAAAAAGACAGGAAAATAGAAAGAAAGAAGGAATAGATGGGACAAATAGGGAACAAATAGGAAAATGGACTTAAACATATAAATAATTTATGTAAACATAAGTGGTGTAGGCACTCCAACCAAAAGGCAGAGATTGTCAGGCCAGAGTAGATAAAAAATCATTACCCACTATATGTGGTCTATAAGAAATTCAATTTAAATATGAAAATACAAATAGGTTTAAAAATAAAGGAAAAGATAAAGATATCTACACAAATAATAATAATAATCACACCACTCAATAATAATCAAATTGTCACAGATGTGACAATACTGAAATCAGACAAAGTAGACTTCAGAACAAGGAATATTACCAGAGATAAAGAGTAATATTTCATAATAATGGAGGGGTCAGTTCATCAAGGAGTTATAATGACCCTAAATGTGTATACATCTAATAACAAAGCTTCAAAAATACATGAAGCTCAAATCAACATAAGCGAAAGGAAAAATAGCCAAATCCAAAATCATGGTTGGACATTTCAACTTTCTTGGTAATTGACAGAATAAGCAGACAAAATCCATAGGGATATAGAAGATATAAACAACACTCTCAACTAACCTAACTGATAATGATAAAATATGCTATCCAATAACAGGAAAATACACATTCTTTGCAAATTGCACATGAAACATTCATCAGGATAGATCATATGCTGGGCTGTAAAACAAATTCCAATAAATATAAAATGACTGAAATCATGCGAAGTATGTTCTCTGAGCACAACAGAATTAAAATGAATGTAAATAGAAAGACATCTGGAAAGTCCTAAAATACCTGGAAATTAATTTTTAAGAACCCATGCTTCCAAATAACTCATCAGTTAAAGAAGAAAATTAGAAAATACTCTGAAGCAACTGAAAATGGAAACATCAGAGTTCGTGGGATGCAGCTAAAGTAGTGCTTAGATGAAAATTTATAGCATAAAATGTTTGTATTAGAAAAGAAGAAAGGGTTAAAATCAAACTATGTCTCTATCATAAGATACAAGAAAAAGAACTAAAACCCAATACAAAGTAAGTAGAAGGAACAAAATAACAAAGATATGAGCAGAAATAATAAAATAGAAAAGAGAAAAACAAAGTCAATGAAACTAAAAGCTGGTTCTTTGGGAAAAAAAAACCAGCTCAATAAAACTGATAAGCCACAGGCTAAAATGATCAGGAAAAACAGAAAGAAATTAGCAATACTAGAAATGAAAGAGGGGATATCACTACAGCTTCTACAGACATTAAAACAATAGTAAAAGAATATTATAAGTGAATGGGCAAATTCCTCAAAGACAAATGATCAACATGGAAGCCAGAAGAAATAGAAAATCTGAATAGTTACATAACTTAAAGAAATAGAATTCATAATTAAAAACCTCCCCACAAAGAAAACACCAGGCTCAAATGTTTTCACTGGTGAATTCTGTCAAACACTTAAGTAAGACACAGCATCAGTTTTACATAAACTCTTTCAGAAAAAAAGAGGAGGTGGGTTCACTTTCCAAGTCATTTTATAAGATCAGCATGGCCTTGATATCAAAACCAGACAAAGACATTACAAGAAAACAACAGGTCAACGTCCCTCATCAACATTGACACAAAAAATCCTAGAGAAAATTTCAGCAAACTGAATCTAGCAATATATAAAAAGGATAATATACCATGACCAACTAGGGTTCATTCTAGCAATGCAAGGTTTAACATTTAAAAAGGCAATAATTAATGCAATTTACTGTATTAACAGAACAAGAGGACAGCATATGATCATTTCAATAGATGGGAAAAAAGCATTTGACAAAATTTAACACTCATTTGTAAGAAAACTTCTCAGTAAATTAGGACTAGAAGGGATCTTCTTCAACCTAATAAAGAACATTATGAAAAAAACCCTACAGCTAACATCACACTTCATAGTAAAAGATTAAATGCTTCCCCCTATGATCAGGAATAAGACAAGGATGTTTGCTCTAACCACTTCTATTTAACATCTACTTGAGGTCCCAATCAGTGTAATAAGGTAAGAAAAAGAAATAAAAGTCATAAAGATTGTAAAGGAATAAGTAAAACTTTCTTTATTCACAGATGACATGTTTGTATACATGAAACATACTAACAAATCTACAAAAAGCTGCTAGAGCTAATGAGTTTAGCAATGATACATTATTCAAGATCCATATAAAATCAACTAGGTTTCTATATTCTAGCAACAAACAATTAAAATTGAAATTTAAAAATAGCATTTGTAATAACATCAAAACCATGAATTACTTAGGGATAAATATAACAAAATTTGTGCAAGATGTGTTCACTGAAAAGTATAAATGAAAATTTGAAATTAAAGACTTAAGGAAATGGAGAGATATAGCAAATTCATGGATTGAAAGCTTAAATATCGTTAAGATGTTATTCCTCCCCAAACTGATCTATAGATTCAGTGCAATCTACAGATGCACTGCAAGACTGTTTTACATCAGTAACACACTTGCATATAAATCTACTTGAGTCTTTTCAGTGGCTACATATATTCCCTCATATGAGTCAGGCACAGTTTATCCAACCAGTCCATCAGAGGTGGTCTGGTTAAGTAAGTATTTTTCATTCACTAAATTTTGTTAATAAACCATCTGATTCAGATATATACACATACCTGATATATCTGTACATACATATACATATATGTATATATGAATACATTATATAACATAACTGCCATACTCTATCCTGGATCACAGGATCCAAATAGTATTACTGGATTAGGGAACATTCTTGTACATGATAGTCCATAAGCTTTATTATACAGAGTAGGTGATTTGCTAAATTAGAAAATCTTTTTATGGGACCTCATGCCATCTTTGGACTTTGTCCATGGTAGAGATACCTGAGCCAGGCATATGGGCAGGTTTCCTTCCTCTTAGCTTTCCAAGCTGGGCCCAACTCTTCTTCCAGTTGGGATTGCTTCCTTATTCCATGCCTGGCTCCCCAGTTCCTGAGCTGGGACTAACTCCCTGATCACTGGCTTTATGACATCACCCGTTTTATATCTCATGAGTGCTATCACCGAAATCTCACCACTAATGACTTGTAATATTTGTGCTGGGCTTGTCTTCTCAACTCCCTTCCCTCAATTGGCAATCTAGTGTTTTCCCATGGACACATCTGTTTTCCTACAGCTGGGATACCTGGTTACTTCTTGCAAAGGATGGGTAGTTGCTACTGGTAGCCTTTCCAGCAAACTGCTTCCTATTCTTCCATCTTAAAAAGAGAAGTTTTCCAGTGTGAACACTGACATGCTTATTACTCAAACACTAATTTATTCAGTTGTTCATTCAGTGAATGAATATCAACAAGGTGTGTAGCTAACACTGTGCTAAGCACTGAGGGGGAATACAGACAACCAAAAAACAGATGACCAAATGAATGCTACAGACTGTTATAGGAGTGTACTTGAACCTCTTAACAGGTTTGCCTTTCTCAAGTCTCTCCCTTTCACAATCTATCTTCCAGGTGCTACTGAGTAAGCTGTCTAAAAACCAAAGCTCATCTGTTTTCACAGAAAAAAGTATAAATTCTTTAGCGCAGCAGTCAAGTCTCTTTATAATCTGGCTCCAATTTTCATTCAAGCCTTAATTCTCCCCCACTTTCTCTCATAAATTCTATGTTCTCATTTGTCCCATGAGGCAACAGGTCCTTTCCAAACCTTATTCTCTTTGCCTAGAATGTGTTTCGCTCTTCTTCACCTGGCAAACTCTCAGCGAACCTCCAAGATTCAGTTCAAAGTCTTGGTGAAACATTTCTTCTATTCACAACTGTTCTGGATTTGGGTACATTGCTCCGTCACCTTTATTAGATGGTGAAACTTTTGAGGGCACTGGGTTGACTTGCTAGTCTTTGAATCTCTGAATTCAAGTCTGAATAGGGCCTGGCAAATAGTTAGGTACCCAATGAATATTTGTTAAATGAATGAAGGAATAAACGAATGTGAAGGAAGAGCTCAAAGGGCCTTGGTATACTTAGGTAAGGGATTTTTAAAGGCACAGGGCTTGAAGCTGCACCTAGGAAGACAAGAGATAGATGGGGAAAGAGCATCTGGAGGAGGAAGATTATTACCCTAGGACACAGAAGAACACAAGTCCAAGACTGAAAGTGAAGACAGTGAGGGGGTCAGCCAGACTACAGCTGACTGCTGCACTATCTTGACCTTTTCACGGACTAGATTTCTCAATTATATTTTCAGCTCCTGGAGGGCAGGGTATTTTGTACACTCCTTAGTATCCCTTTTATATATGATGCCCATCTCCACAGTCATTGTTCCTGCTGTCTTGTGGTTCTTACTCTGCTCTGTAATACAATTATTTGTGTATCTACTTGTCTCCCTAAAACTTACACTAGCCTCCCTCCCAGGCTGCTTGAGGTAAGGGAAGAGATGCAGTCTTAGTGTCTTTGCATCTTCTAAGACACCTAGCATGGTGCCTGGCACACAATGGGTGCTCAGTAAATATTTTCTGATCCACCATCTGTTGATCTGATTACAGAGAACCACAAGGATATTTGTGTGCAACTGTGTATTGTGGTACAAAACTTATATATGCCTTCACACTGTGTAGTCTATTTTTGGCAATTTTCATTAAAATGTTATCTTATTGTACATGGAAGACTGTCATTTCAATTTTCTCCTTTGTTCCTTCTTGGATGACTCACATCTCTTATACCAGAAGGATATGACAGAAGGGACTCAAAAAGGGTTTGGACACATTTATGAATGACGAAGTCATAAATGTCTGGGTATAAGGAGCTGTTGGGAGCATGCAAAGGGGAAGGAGAAAGCTTGCATTTCAAAAGTGCCTATTATGCACCAAGAACTGTGCTAGGCAATTGGCATACATTGTATATTATTTAATCTGGCAGAATATGTCGGCATAAAGACAGGACATGCCTATCTATAAGGCCAAACCCATATCTCTTCAGGCACATAGCTTCTCCAGGTACCAAAGGCAGTATTTATCTTATTAAAATTTTATCAACCTTTTAAGACAGATGAATCTAAGGATTTGCATTGTTTCCTAAGAACAGAACACTCATTCTCAATTCAAGCTCCTATCGTTTAAAACTCCTTTTTGGAAAAAAACAAAAACCAAAAAAACCAAAAAAAAAACAACCCAAAAAAACCCCAAACTCTTTGACATAACTTGATCAGTTTTTAAAGTCTCAAAGCTTTAAATTACAATGCAATTGGAGAGAGTCCCACAGCAGTAACAGCAATTACTTTTGTTCACAAATGTAAATTGTTTGCTTATCTTTATATTTCATAAAGCTTCCAAATACTGAACAAAGGTAAGTCAAGTCAAGAAAAGAGACTTCTATTAACCCTGACACTAGCAAATTGTCTCAGATTATAGCATGCCTTCTATTTGTATTCTACACACATAGAGTGGTTTTTTAGAGATACATATTTTGCCTCATTTGTGGTTAGAAGAAAATTGGAAGGGAATTAGTTTCAGTTGTTTCTAATTTTTTGAAAAATAATAGTAACTTTAAAAAGAAAAATGCTCCCAAGTGTACAGGTCCTGCATCTGATGGGAATCAAAACATACCCAAAGTACCATTTCTACTCCTGGGAATGGCTTGAGAAAGTGCGGCTGCAGGTACTGGTTCGTACATTGGTTTTATTGTAAGTCACACTATCCAAGGCCTAGGACTACACATCTTGATCTGTGATAACATGCTTCCTGCCAGGTGTGGGGATGGGTGGGAAGAGAAGGGGTACAACTTCAGGTAAGGGATAAGCAGCACACTCAGTGGGCTCAGACAGCTTTCTGTTAACCTGCTTTGAGAGAGCTAAAATAGACATCTTTGCTTCAGAAAGTGTAAAGCCCTTCTCACATGACTAGAGAAAATGGCAAAAGTTCAAATGAAGTTTCACATTTTAGATGGTCTTCCCCCAACCTCTATGTGCCACTAATTGCTGGAAAAACGCCAGACATGTCTTTGTGGTGATTATGTGTTTCTTACATTTTACATTAGTCAAAGGAAACTGAAAGACCAGGACTAACCCCAAAGAACACAGGTGTGACATACCACCTATGGAACTTTTTAAAGATAGACAAGAATCCAGCTTATACATTTAAAAGATTGCTCCTTCTGTTTTGAAACTAGGGGATGAAAATATGCACACATTCCAAAGAGTTCTTTGTGTGAACAGGTGACCCCTTCCCACAGTCTCTGTAATTAATTGAGAAATTAAAGTTAGTTGGCCTTTGAGATCTCTTGTAAAAAAAGGCAGAAGGTCTTGGATATTTTGGAACAAGAGTCCACTATTCTGCCAAGACAGTGTGTTATTGTTATTGGAGTGTCTCTCAACAAAACGGTATTGAGTGGTGAGGACGTGATTTTGATTAGGTGGAATGACTCAGCTCTTCCCCTTAAAGAAGAGAGGACTTGTCAGAGCCTTACTTACCTCATGATCTGGGATCTCAGAGGATAGTGTTTTCCCTAGGATGACCCCGGTCAAGTATGTCCAGCATCGAGCCGTGTTGGCAAGGTTATAGCCTCCTGTCTCCATCAAGAATTGTGAAGTTAGGAAAGAACAGTCACAAAACAGCAGGAGAGGGAAGGAGGGTAAGGAAGGAGAGAAAAATGTTTTAATAAAAGGTCTAAAAAGACAACTCCAACTTGCAGAACTTTACCTAAACATCCCTTTATGATGTTTTTGAACCACCTAGTAGGTGGACTTTAGTGGGTTAGTCAGACCATGCACAGTGTGGAACTAGGAAGTCTAAGGCCTGCAAAGATTAAAGAGGCTCTCATCTATGAACTAGTATGTATCCGAGGATTCCAAGCTCCTCAGTTTCATCAAGTCATCAGCAAGACTGAGATCCCTGGAACTTGGATCCCTGGAACCCAGCAACCCACCCAATGTCAAGGTTTCTGTGATGAATTTAGCAACAATCCTATAAAATGGCTGCTGGATGTAATTCATATGTTAAAGCCATTGGCAGATATAGTCCTAGAAATATCCAGGAAAGAGAAACAGAAAATGCTGACAGAAATAGACTTCCTTCTTCCAATATCAGCATTCCTTTTCTCCACAAAACACAGGCCTAGTGGCAGAGATCAAAGAGAATGAGATGAGGAAGGGACTGTTGATTGATGCTCTGACCCATCTCGTCAGGTTCTGTCACAGTCACCCAGCAGCCATATTATACTGGCTAATAATCAGCATATTCTTGCACTGAATAGATGTGTTCTGCCATGCAAGCATTAGAACATTGGCCTTTAGCTAAATTCTAAGTGTAAGGATGAAATGGAATGATTTCCTAACTTCAGTGCAGCCTGAGGGAAATAAAAGCTGGTCTATTTTAGGTAGGGTAACCATATAATTTATTGTCCAAATGGTACATTTTAACAGTTAAAGGGGACACTATTCATAATTACACAGGGATAGCATGTATAAATTAGGACATATGGTCACCTTTCTCTTAAGCCTTTCTTGAAAGAAAGGCTTTCTCCTTGAAAGGTCAGGGATACTGGGGATTTTGGAATTCTTTTAGGCCTCAGTGGGGTCCAATGAAGCTTGGGGAAATGGCCATATCCACTAGTTGTCTATGTCTTATTGGAGATCGAGAATTTAAGTGAAATAGTACACTTTATTACTTTAAACATTCCTGACGTGAAAAATCTGAATTTAGAAGATCAACTTATTGGGTATGATTATTTGATTTCAAAAAGATTCACTATAGATCTGAAGTAGTAAGCTCTCTCTGGTACATATACAATACGATTTGATTTGCAAAAATACCATTTACATACAGGAATTTTCAGGAATACACATATTGCACAAGAAGGGTTATATATACAAAAGCCAAAACTTTGGGCTGACAAAGCAAAAAGACTTTGAAAATGCTAAGCAAAGGCTGTAGCCACAAACAAAAGTTGGATTTGCACAGATGTATGTTGAAGAAAGGGCTCTTTTCCTCCCCCTAGCTGTACCTGTATCATCACCAGCACCCTTAGTACTGTCAAGGAAAGTAATACGTCATACAATACTTATCAATTTCATCTTTTCCCTGAGTTGAAGTTAATAGATGTCTTGCCAGCTTTTCATAAGAGGTTCCCTCTTGTAAGCACCTGTAATTTTGATCTTTCTAGGATTTGAGGCTGCCAAAGGACCAGGCTTGTGTATTTGTGCTGAATGCCCACTCATTTTCATAAGGCCTTCCCACAGCCTCCTCTAATTTGGTTTTTACAACAGGTTGACAAAACAACAAACTATTAGCTATTCCATAATACATGCACTTTAAGCTCAATCTGCTTGACCATGTTATTTTAACACACCAATCCATTCACCCAATGAAATAAAGATTGTGCCAGATAGATAGAAGACTCTTAGCAAGGCATCTTCAAAGGTAGTTGAGGCTGTAAAAAGTACCTTTCACAAATGTGTAAACGCTTCTATTGAACAGACCCAGCTTTCTGTTGATTAAGTAATACAAAATGTCAGTACACACTGAAGGCAAGGATGCCCAAGAGACTCTAGGTCTCTCAGTTCTGCTTTATTGTAACAAATCCATGCTTCTTTTGTTGGGGGCCGGGGCGGGGTCAGGGGGAGAAGTCATTCTTGAATTCAGCTTAGATATTTAATTAGTTCATATGTTCACTAAAGAATTTTAGTGGTATGTTTCCAAAGGATGATTACTAGAACTGAGAGTCAAAAACTATATTGAGAGAAGATGGATTAAAGTCCACTGAGGTTAATATCCGCTATTCTTAATAAGATCTGATGGCACCTTTAATAAAAGGACCTTTGCTTCAGGAAGCGAAACTTAGACTTCAGAGTGCCAAGGAGTCAATACACATGCCAAGCTGAGGAGAAGTGTGTCACAGTACTTCCTTATGCTGAATCGTGAAGGGGGCAGAGTTCTCTGACTCAGGCTTCTGGATCACAGGCAGGTTGGTATTATCCAATCTAAGAAAGCCAAGTTTTCCTCAGTGTCAATGGACAAAATGTGGAAGAAGGTCAGCAAATTCTCCTGGTGACCTCCCTTTGTACTCACCTCCTCCCAAAATGAGTGTTGCCAACTGCCACTGAAGAATGTACTTAAGACATTTGCCAATTCCCACTGGAGTCATGTTAAAGGAACACATGGGATCCCCAGCAATCGTATCAGCTCCCAGCTGTAAGACCACTGCTTTGGGATTAAAGGCTATGTAGACCTCCTTTAGTACACTGTAGAAAAGAGAAAGGATAGAAAATGTCAGAAAAAGATAGATCAGTTTGGTGGTGGTTGAGGCGAGGGCAGCTGGAGGTATAGCTGAGTCAGCAAACAGTGAAGGGAAAAAAGATCCAACTCGTCAACTCATCAAACTTTCCATCTAAAAAAGGTGAATCAGACTGTATCTAAATTATGCCTTAAAAAACCCGATTTACAAAAAACATCCCCCCCCCCACTTTCATGTTACCGAGAACCAAGTTTATCCTTAATGTTTCGGAACACAAACTTCCCTTAAATATTCATTTTCACTTAACTTCAACAGCCATAGGACAGAGTATACATATTTACTCCATTTTACAATCTGGGAAAATAAGACACATACACTGAACAGTCCTGATAATTTAAGATTGTCAACATACTTGGAGTTTATTATCTGTTATCAATGGAAACTACTGAAGAGAATTAACATGCCTTTGAAAGCACAGATGTTATCAGCTTACTTTCTATTATGCTAAAGGACTTCTGGGTTAAGAAATATAGCCCTCCCTAAATCATATGTAACCAGAGTCTTCTTGAGCAGGAAATGATAACCACTGATCCAAAATTATAAATCTGAAAGCACCCTAAAGAATAAGTTATAGTGAGCAATAATGAGGATAATTTGGGGGTAGAATCACACAGTGCTATTAAAGCAACCTAGCAGCTGTTCCATTTCCTCACAGAAGCATCATAGATGAAAAAAAATGTTGTCAGTGTGACAGATGACCTTAGTCAGGCTTCTAGTATTATCATTAACTGAACACTGACACTGTCCAGAATACATTCTTAGGAGTTATAAGGTTCCTGCTCTCAAGGGGCTTACAATCTAGTTTCCCGACAAACCATATACCAGTCCTCATGGGCCTGAGGAACTCTTTCAGAGACACATAAACAAGTGTAAATTAACATACTTCAGAGTTGAGAAAATGCAGAGTCAGAAAGTGATAAAAAATGTTGGGGTTAATGACCCTTCATAATCAACATGTCAAATTATACCAGTGCAGCAAAAACAGAAAAATTCCAGATCCTTCTGAAACTGCAAGAAGAATTCAAGGGATATAAAATGTCATTCTCCCAAATTCATATGTAACCAGGGTATTGAAACTATTGAAAAGTGCTCAGTTGCAGAGGCATTCTTTGACTCAAAAGACTGTTTTGTTTTGATTTCTCATCTATGCAGACAACTATTGTGTGATTGTGGAGATTATAAGAATATTATAAAACTTATGGCATATGATCCTTAATACAGAAATACTCAAGCCTATTCTTTCATGTGCCTATCTCCTGGTACAGAGGGAAACTAAGCCACCTGAATATTCAGCTAACATTTGTTGAGCATCTACATGTACAGGGCACCCTATTAGTTGCTATTAGAAGACACAGAGGAAGGCATGATCTCTATTCTGAAAAGGTTTATAACTGAAGAGGAAGAAGGTGGAGGCAAGGAAGACTAATGTTTCTTCTTTCATTCTTTCTCTCATTTTGCACATATTTACTGACTGCCCTCTGTGTGTCCAGCATGTAACTGTACCAGGAACATGCTGCAGGAACAAAGATGAATATGACACAGCTCTTATTTTCATGTGGCTCAGATCACAGGGGAAGGTTCATACTACGTTAATCGGTAATTTAAATATGATAAATAAAGTATTAGAGATGGCACACAGAGAAGGGAGTAATTGACTTTTCTAGAAGATGTCAGGAAAGGCTCTACAGAAGTAACTTTTGACTTAGGTCTTAAAAGATAAAAACTACAGTGAACCACCTATTGAATTGGCTAAAATGAAAAAAAAAAGCAGTAACTTCAATTGCTGGTGAGGATGTAGAGAAACTACACCGCACATAGCTTGTGGGTGGGAATGTAAAATGGTATAGCCACTTCGGAAAATAGTTTGGCAGTTCCCATCAAAATTAAAAATAGACTTACCATATGACCCAGCAATTGCCTTCTTGGGAATTTATACCAGAGAAATTAAGACTTATTTTCATATAGGAACTTATACACAAATATTCATAGCAGCTTTATTTGTAACGATCCAAACTGGAAACCACTCAGATGTACTTCAATAAGTGAATGGTTAAACAAACTGTGGTACGTCCATACCACTGGAATAGTGTTTATCAATAAAAAGAAAAAAAAAACTATCGATAAATGCAAAAAACAAAACAAAACTTGGATGGCTTTCAAAGGAATTATGCTGGGTGAATAAGCCCAATTCAGAATCTATACTGCATGATTCCATTTGTTAAGTAACAATTTGAGGGGTGGCAAACAGATTGGAGGTTTCCAGTAGTTAAGGATGGCTATAAAATAGTAGTATGAGACAGCCTTATGGTGATGGTTGTGGTTATGAAAAGCTATGCATGTGATAAAAATCTCATAGAGCCCCCCCCATATACACATGAGTGCATGAATAATGGGTGAAAACTAAGTAAGCTCTGTGAATTGTACCAATGCCAACTTCTTGATTTTGATGTTGAATTATAATCATGCAGGATGTCAAGATTGGAGGAGGCTGGAAGAAGGGTGCATGGGACTTCCTTGTACATTTCTTTGCAACCTCTCTTGAGTCTATAATTATGTCAAAATAAAAAAATTAAGAAGAAAGATTAGGAAAAGTTTTCAGGCATGTGGGGTGAAGACAGTGGAGTTGGCAACAGGAATGGTTATGAGGGTTACTGGTAGGAGATGAGGTTCAGAGAAGGAACTGCACACACAAGAGCATGATGGCTTGAAACAGGCAGTAGTGGGAGGGAGGCTAGTGAAATAAACGTGGGTTAGGGTACTCAGGGCCAGATATGCCAGGCAGGCTAACAAGTGGGGACTTTTACTTCAAGAGTATGGACCATCTCAAACATTGTGTGTGTCTGTGTGTTTCCATTCATGTACGTGTGTTGGGGGAATGATCAGATTTACATTTTGAAAAGCTACTCTACCTATAGCATAGGATATACTAAAAGTTATCAGGGGCCATTTGCACCCATCCAGGCCAGTGGCAGCAAGGGAAAGGAAGAAAAGATGGATTTGGGAGATACTTCCAGGGTAGAATTGATAGGGCAGCACATACTGACACACAAGAAGAGCATCTACATACAACATTCACGAGCATTTTGTACAGGGAGAGAGGAAAGGATATAGGAAGGCAGGTGCTTCTGGGATAGCTGTCTGAATGATAGCCAGGGAGAGAAAATGAGTCCCCAGGGAATTCTGATGAAGAGGGCTCTGGATGGCTAGAGAAAAGGGTAATTGGAAGCTTTGGCAATGGTAAGGTATTTCATACACAGTGTAAACATCAAGGCCACTGCAAGTGAGGACACCTTCCATGTGAGGGCTACATGGTGGACACTCTTAAATTAAAGACCGAAAGTTTTCCTTTAGTTTGACAGTCAAACGGGAGTCGCTGGAGAAGCATAAGGACCAACGTTGCTGAAAAATGATGATTAGGAACTCTGATTTTTGCTGTTTCGTGGAAGGCCAAGGAGAGAAAGTCTGGAGGCAGAGGGATGGGCAAAAAGGGTACTGAAGCATTCTAAGCACAAGAGCATCAGGAAGCAAGGTAAGATACCCTTGGGGAAAAAAAATGAGAGGGCTAGGTGACAGACTGGGTGGGGGTTGGGGTGGTCAGAGTAGAAAACACACTGCGCCGATTCCTCCAGAATTCTCAGGCGGGGGAAAGCGAAATAAAAATATTCCTTTTCCTAGTGCAACTTCCAAATCCGGTGTTCCTTCCTCTCATCAATCTCATCTCCTTTGAGTCAATGTCATTTGCTTATACCACTCAAACACTAGCAAAGGTCCTAGCTACAGACCTACTACAAGGTACTCTTTCACCTCCCTTAAGGACTTAAGCACCTGAAGTTTTTCTGTCTCTCCCTTTCCCCGTCATTTGTCTTTGCCATTCACTATTCACTTGCTTACTCACATCTTGATTCAAGCACCTGTTCTCACCCATGCTGGGCACTAGAGATACAGAAATAAGTTAAGACCCAAGAAGCGTGTTGCATAGTAGGGAAGGAAGATAGGAAAGCAAATAACTGTGACAAGTGCCATAATACCCATCCACTCATTCAAACAAATCTTAACTAAATGCCTACTGTATACGAGGCATTATGTTGGGCAATGGGTTTACTGTACTTAACAAAAGAGACCTGACTCTTCCCCCTGTGACCCTTCTAATTCTCTGAAATCACAGTTTCTTCACCTTTTGAACAACAGAGATGTCCACCTGCACTCCACTTTAGTTATCTCCAGGCATAGCCATGCTTTAGGGCCTGGTGAAGAAGTGCTTGGAAATGCTCTACTTCTAACACCCTGAACTCTGAACTGCTTTTACTGTGTACAATTTTCTATCTTCCCATTGAACTTGTTCTTTATTCTCATTTTAACTGCCGTTTCCTTGTCTTTCTATTTTCAAAGTCTACCAGTTTATCTTTTGACCTCATTTGCTTCACTACTCATTTTGCAGAATACAATTAGTCATTTCAAAAACTCTTATTAGCATACTTAATTCCCTCACACCTTTGTCGTTTCTGCCTTGTCAATCCTTAAGCCCTTGGATAAACCACTCTGTCAGAATTTTCTTCTCTGTTCTGCTGGAGAAAGCTGAGAACTCAAGCCAATTGCTTCCTATATAGTCTATGCTTATGACTCCAATTCAACAAATTCCATAAACATTTATTGAGTGATCGATATATGCCACTCCCTCTGTGCAGCTTGGCAATCATTTGCTTCACCTCTTGTTGGTAAACAATTACATTTCTTGCAGCATCTAGTCTAATTAAAAAAATACAAATCCAATGAGTGTACATTCTTTAAAAAAATATTTATTTGTCAGAGAGAGAGAGAGAGCGCAAGCGAGCACACAAGCAAGGAGAGCAGCGGCAGAGCGAGCAGCGGGCTCTCTGCCAAATGGGGAGCCTGAAGTGGGACTCAATCCCAGGACCCCAGGGACCATGACCAGAGCCAAAGGCAGAC